CTCAGTGTTTATTACATTTTCCTCTGTTTTTCTCTGTGGTTTTAAAATATTTCACAACAAAAATGATTTCTTTTTTTTAAAAAACCCTGGTGGAATCCCTTTTAATTAAAAAAAAAAATTAGACCAATTTTTTTTTTTCCTTTTTGTCTTTTTTCGTGACCGGCTACGGGATCGCAACCCTCGGTGTTGCTCCCGCACCTCGCTCAGCCAGTGAGCGGCCGGTCTGTATGTGGGATCCGAACCCTCGGCGGGAGCGCCGCCACACTTCCCAAGCGGCGCACTGTAGCAGTGCGCCACCGGGCCGGCCCAGAGCAATTTTAGATGTACAGAAAAATTGTGACAATAGTACAGATTTCCCATGTGCCCCACACCCAGTTATTAACATCTTACATTAGCATGGTACATTTGTTACAATTAGTGAACCAATATTGATGCATTACTATTAACTAAAGTGTATCATTTTGTTAATTCCCTTGTTTTCACCTAATATCTTTTTCTGTTCCAGTATCCCATCTAGGATACCAAATTTACCACATTATATTAAGTCATCCTGTCTCCTTAAGCAGCTCTTGGCTGTAACAATTTCTCATACTTTCCTTGTTCTTGATTACCTTGACAGTTTTGAGGAGTACTGATCAGTTATTTTGTAGAACGTCCCTTAATTGGGATTTGTCTGATGTTTTTCTCAGGGGTTATACCTTTTGAACAGGAAGAAATAATGTACCCTTCCTGTTACATCATATCAAGGATACATATTATCAACATGACCTACACAAATAAACTTTTAAAAATAAATAAAATATTAAGAAATAGGGTGAGAACATTATTTAATTAAGCAGTTTATAAGGCCAATTTTTAAAATATACTAAAAGAACCAAATTCAAAACTCTTTTATTCAACAACGAAATTTCTTCACCAGAGCAGTATTACATCCAGAGACTGTAACATTTACTGGTTGCGTAATTTTTGAAGTTTTAACCAAAACTTTTTTTTCAAAAGCAAAGAGACTCTTTAATAACAAGAAAACAAAACAATGTTTAACATAGTTGTGATATTGCATTTTCTAATTTTAAAATAAGACATTTAAAAAATTTAATCTCCAGTGATTTTTTTTCCTGGCTTCGCTCTTCATTTGAAAAGGTTTCTTTGCACTGGTGTGCAAATATTTAGTAGCATCGAGAGGCCAGTGGGGTAGTATCCTACCCATGAACTTTGGAGTCTCACAGATCCTGATGCTGCCTGTTGCTTCACTCTATACAGTAGGATATATTTTTTAACCTCTCTCTAGGTCCTGATTTCAGCATCTTTCATGTCAGGAAGTGGTGGTGATGGTGGTAAAATCCACCTCGCAGGATTGGTATGAAAATTAAACAAGACTGTGTCTGTACAGCAGCTGGTACAAACAGAGAAGGCAGCTAACGTTCCCTTTACCCTGCAAGCTTAGAGACCGAATCCCCCCTGCCCACCCTTCTGGGGTCATTATTAGTAACCTGCCCTCTGTTAAGCAGGAGAATACTGATCCACCAACCAACTCTCTACTTTCTTTCTCTGTCCCCTCAGCAAGTCCATGCATTAGGCTTTGTTTGCTTACTTTTTGCTTCTTTCTGAATGTCCTTACAAATGATTTTTGGGACCTCTAATTTACTATTAAAAAGCAACATTCACAAAGACAAAAATGTATCCAAGCATGGGCCTCTATGCCCATAGAATCGTCAATGCCCTTCAGCCAAAGACCACCAGAAACACACCTGTGTTAAGCTCTCTGGGCTTATTACTCATTGCACCAAAAGGGAGTACACACTGTGGGGGACCATGGGGCATCTCAGCACGAGGGTGTTAGAAAGAACCTACTATGAGACTTGGACTTTAGTTAGGTGACTTGAGGAAGAGTCTAACGAAATGGGGGTTTGCTCTAGATTGGATGCTATTAGAAAGCTGGGGCAATAAGATGCTTCATATTTGGTGGGTTGTACAGTGACCCTGATTTTGCCTGTGCTTAGACACAATTATGGATGGGCCTTGCATTGTCTCAGAGTAACTTTGTCTGGGGATGGCTTTCAGTGAGATTGTTTATTTCTAATAAGAGAATAGCATGGCTTAGCTGCAAGTGCCAGGCCAGCCACAGAATGAATGTCAGAGGCTGTTCTTTTGATTGTTTTCTTTCTCAGCATCATGAGCATCCTTCTGAACTTTGGTTGTCCACTGTTGTCTTTTGACAAACCAAAGAGCTGTACTTCAAAAGATATATATTCTCCAGGGCATACATCGATTGCTCAGTCAGAAATAGAAGAAATGCCTTTATCTCTGTGCAGCTCAGAAATGGCAGTGATCACTTTGAAGACCATTATTCTGAAAATGTTGATTACTTTTATGCACCCACAACGGCACTGGGAATTTTACAACACTAAGTTTGGGAAAGTGCAATGAAAAAACAAAATTACTGGAAAGAATAAATAAAGGCTTTGCTTGTGATATTTTCCAGAAAAGGTAATGTTTCAGAACTGGATGTTAGATTAATTGCTTGTACCATTATTAATGTAGAATGAAACTCTGATCTATAATGACCGTGTTTTCTCCCACTAGCTAATTCCCTTTCTATTAGATGAGGTCCTGGGAACCACATATAGCAGATGCTGGAGAATATCACCACTAGTCTCAGAAACCCTGGAAACGCAGTGAGAATCTAGATTTCAGTTATCAATAGCTTTTTTTACAGGGTCTTGAGAGTGTGTCTCCTCCTCACCTGGTACTATCTATGATTTAAGAGTGATATGGTGTTTTGTCACATTATTTTGCCTCATCAATACAGCAGATTTAATGTCATCTAATTCTACTCTCTCAGCTACAATATTTTGTTAACACCTCAGCTAACAATTTGATCTGGGTTTCACATGTGGCAGGAAGTTTTAATGAGGGTTTAACAATTTACAGTAAAAAAATTTTACTTTAATCAACATGAGAGCCCATCATTCAAATTAAGGTTCAATGCTATTTCCTTTTCATTCTGCACTTTAACACATTAAATTATTTTAACCTCCCCCCAAATGTCTGTGGGAACAGTTTGAGAATTTTCAAGGTCTTCCAGAAAAATCTGTCTCCCAATAAACTTAAAGGAATATAGGAATTAAAAGTAAGAAATTGAGATTTCTAAACACTGGTTGGCAGACATCGGCAACCTAATTATGGAATCTCCCAAGAATTCTTAATTGCCCACGCCAACACCAGTGTCCCTCTCTGCTACATGACATGTGGCCTATAACCTGCATACTATATGTGCTTCTCTTTATCCAGGGTTGAAGTTTTCTTTTGATAAAATATGTAATCTTATCAACACGGAAATGCACTTTAGAGGTCAGTCTCCTGACCATTACTGGTAGACATATCAAAGGGTTTTCTTCTTTTTTTTTTTTTTTTTCTCTTAGAACATTAGCAACAGCATTCTGAAAGATGACTGCTGGGGAGAAGATTGGCAGATGACAGAAAGCAGCATCTGGATGGGTCACCTGAGGGAACCTGGGACACTGGCAGACCTCAGAAAGGGGACTGAATGAGCAGTACCACAGGGGCATGAGGCTGTCAGAACTGGAGGAGATCCAGGTTCTACAAGCCATGCCAGGAGCAAATCAAAGATCCTGCGAGTAGGGCCGGCCCGGTGGTGCACTGCTACAGTGCGCCGCTTGGGAAGCGCGGCGGTGCTCCTGCCGAGGGTTCGGATCCCACATGCAGACCGGCCGCTCACTGGCTGAGCGAGGAGCGGGGGCAACACTGAGGGTTGCGATCCTTTGCCGGTCACGAAAAAAGACAAAAAGACAAAAAAAAAAAAAGATTCTGCGAGTACAAAATGTCAGTGCCCACCACCACCCTTACACTAAGGCTGCTGCGGCTGTGACTCGGTGGAGATACCAGCCTGGAGCAACAGATGAATGGGCTGACCTTCCCCCGACACTAGCAACTGACAATTGGTATTGCAGGAGAATTGACCAAAAAAAGAAAAGAAAAAGAAATGAGTAAGGACTGAGAAAATATCTCTCAGGAGCTGAAATCCTTCTGCCCAAAGGATATTACAGCAGGAGGGGCGTCTGGCCCACCACCTATTTTTGTAACTACAGTTTCACTGGAGCGCAGTCGTGCCCATTCATTTTCTATTGCCTTTGGCTACTTCTGTGCTGCAATGACGAAGTTGAGTAGCTGTGACAGAGATTATATGGCTCTGCCTCTCCCCAATGCCTCAAATGTTTACTACCTAGCCCTTTACAGAAAAGGCTGACCCCTATACTGTGAGGTCCGTTCAGGACAGCCTGAAGCTTAAGAAGCTTCGAAGATGTGATTTACCAACCTAAAAACTGCATGGAGCACCAGCCCTCCAACCAGCTCCGCCCTCATGGAGCTTACAGTGCGGCAGGGAAGACGGATGATACCCAAGCAGTGACAAGCAGGATGGCTGCAAGTAAATAGGAGCTGCCTTCTCTTAGGCAAGAGAAGAATATGACCAAATTTATACCTTAAAGTAAAATGTCTTTCATAAGGCTTGGGGCATGGGAGCCCACACCCAGAGATGAGGAATGGTTTGGGAAGGACAGAAATTGCAGCAGACCAGCGGCGGAGCTCCCAGGCTTGCCGAGGCCAGCAGCGTGTGCAGCTTTTCTCACTCCCAGAGCCACCAGGCCTCAGGTGGCCAGAGCAGTCATCCCAGCCATGACAGGTGCAGCAGGCAAGCCACTGGTACCCAGGCTCTGGTCACTCAGGAGGTGACGTCTCGAATTTGTCAGTGTCTTAGGTTTTGCACTTTCTCTGGGGAGATTTGTCATGCTTTCTATTTAATTTTCTCCCAAATACTACTTTTGAAACATGCTGATCTTGTCTAGACTAAATTCAGGTGGAAGAGGTTTTTACACATCCAGGCCAAGATAGTAAGTAGGATCTAAATGCCCTACTAAAGCCACTGAGGAACTGGGGGACAGTGAGGGGGAATGGGCCAGGGCTTCCCCCCACCCCACATCACACTGCAGGTATTCTGGTGATGCAAGGGTCCCTCTGTGGCTCTTCCCTTGTGAAGTCTTCTCCTCTGCTAAAACCCTTCAAGGCCACCAGCACCACAAACTCCCCCTCCACTAAGCTGGTCAGAGAACAAAGTAGAACTGCTCCGCACCTCTTCAATTTGGAAGTCACTTTCTAAACCACAATTTTCCATTTAAAAAAAAAAAACACTTAAAACGTCTTCCATGCTGACACTTAAGGATGTGGGTAGGACACCTTTGTTATTATCAAACCCAACAAATGATTTCTTTCTCTCAAAGATCATTTGAGGAGGAAAGAAATATTAATTTATGCTAAGAAGCAAAACAAGAAAAAATAGAAAAGCATTACCTTACAGACAAGCCCGTTGTGGGTTGATGGTGTGTGTCAACAGTGTGGGAGACATTGACCAGGGATAGAATAAAATGGGACCCTTTAGCCCCAAGGGCTATGACTTATGGAGAAGGGAAAGAAATACACGGTGATGCTCACTGGACACATGTGTCCTCTCTTCACAAAGTCACGATTGAGGTGGAAAACTGAAGAATTGTTTATGAAGAAAATAGAGCTGGCTGGTTAGCTCAGTTGGTTAGAGAGCAGTGTTTGGTAACACCAAGGTCAAGGGTTCGGGTCCCCATACTGGCCAGCCACCAAAAAAAAAAAAAAAGAGAGAGAGAGAGAGAGACTGTTACCATATCGTGAAATAAGCCAGGCACAGATAGAGAAATACTACATGTCCTCCCTCATAAGTGGGAGCTAAAAAAAATTAACAAATGAAGAAAAAAGAGGGCCGGCCCGGTGGCGCACTGGAGAGTGCGCCGCTTGGGAGCATGGCGGCGCTCCTGCTGAGGGTTCGGATCCCATGTGGAGACCGGTTCCCGCTCACTGGCTGAGCGCAGTGTGGGCGCGACACCGAGAGTTGCGATCCCATTACCGGTCAGTAAAAAAGACAAAAAGGAAAAAAAAGAAAAAGAAAAAAGAAAGATACCATAGTCACAATAATTAATTGAACTTTAAAAAGGAGAGAAGAGAACTGAGGCTACTACAGGTGGGAAAGGGGGAGAGGGAAGGAGGCTAGTGAGAAATTGGTAAAGGGCCACAAAAAATGTTTACATTGTGTAATGGTGAATATGCTAATTGTTCTGGAAAAAATAAATAAAATAAAATAAGGAAATTGAATTTAATGCCAAAGTTGAGCACCACAGCTATTCTTTGTCTCTAAATGCATAATTCTTCATCTTCACAAATCGAAACATAACTCCAGTACTTGGTTCCTGCAATGGAACTGAGGCACTTTTCAGTAATTGTAGTGTCTTTTAAAACTACGAAATAGGCAGGGGTTTTTTCCGTGTATTACTTCCTAATCTGCTTCCAGCATTTGTCAACAAGTGTCTGTCGCCATTACTCTTGAAACTAGGACACACAAATTATTCAAGGGGCTTACAATCTAGTTTGGGAGAGGAGTATAAACAGTAACACTGGGGGTTAGTGGTGAGGTGCAGTTGCCCACAGAAAAGATATTTGATCTCTGTGTTCAAGTCATCAGCAACATGTGATTTCTACTGGCTTGGGAAATGTAAAAGCTGAAATTAGATTCTAGAACATTTCCCCCTCTAAACATGTATCCAGAGCTCATACTTTTTAGAATCTACATTTTCGAAAACTGGGAGAATGAAGAAATGAGTAAGGTGTTGGATAAAAGATAACGTCAGTGTACTTCTGTATTAAACCAGTTTTCTGGGGCAGGATTTGTGATTGTAGGTGCAAACAGAATTGTGCTTTCATATAGCCAAGTTAAAAAAAAATGCTCGCATTTTCACTTTGAGCAAATCATTCAATCTGTTCACCAATTTGCACCATACACCCACGTACACCACACATACACATTCTCAAGAGAATTGATGCGTAAATTAGTATTGCTATAAACGACACAGCAATCAAGAGTCATCTGCACTGTATATAAAATTATGAAATCTTTCATGCATTCAGCAAGTTTCTATCCAAGCACTGTAGTATTGTTTATCACACAAGAGGCCAGCCTTGGTAAATCAGAAACAGCGCCCCACAAAGTGAGGCTTAGAGGGAATGGACTTGCAGAACATAGTCCTCAAATGTAGATAAGTATGTCACCTACCTGAGAATGTGAACTTGAGGAAGCCAGAAGAAACAGTGGACTCCACTGTGGAGAATCAAAGGGTTTTACAACCTTGTCCAACTTCAGTTTTCCTCATTCTAAAGCACTGAACAGAATTCAAGCTTTTTCAAAAACATTATCTATTTGCTTAAAGGTCAATGCCCAGAAGGCCAGCCTAAGCACAGTTCAGTGACATCTCAGGAAAGGTTGAACATACTCAAAGCAACAATCCCAAACATGGAGTGTACTTGGGAAACACTGAGGATTTTGGAAAGTGCTGATTCACCTTGGAAGGAAAAGCAGGACTGAACAGAGGGGGCCCAGCAAGTGCATTGTGATTCATTCTGGCTATGCCCAACTTTTCTTTTTACAGCCCCTTATTTTGAAAAGTTACTTAAAAACATAATAAAACAAAACAAAAAACCAAAAAAAAAAAAAAAACTTTAAACGTTCCCCCTCAGTTAAAAAGATTACTCTCGGAAAATCCTTAGGTTGCAGGCCCCTAATGTTCCTGATCCAGCCCCAGAGTTTCCTGGAAACAGATAACCTAAAAGAACACCTGCCTTTTGGTCAAAACTCTAAGTGCATAGGTGACCCTTGTACCCTGGCCTGACCAGTCAATAACCTCAGGCTCTGCCCACCACATGAAGCTCTGTGTAAGTAGATATTAAAGACTTTTTTAAAGGTTAAAATCAACAGAAAACCAAGTCAGAAACGCACATGACTTTGTGCTACCCATACCTATTTCTGTTCCTTCTTGTTGTTAATCTTTCCATTTTTCTCAAAATGTTTTTTTTTTTTTTTCTTTTTATCTCTCTTCTTGCCTGAGCTAACACATTCCTAAGTGCCCCTGACCCTGGCCTTGAGAGGTGAATAATAACAGCCAACATTGGTCAGGCCCTTGTTAGGTGCCTCGCCCACTTGAAGAGTTTTATCTGTGTCACCTTCTCTGGGCTTTTCAATAATGCTAGAAGTTAGGTGCTATCATGATCATTCCCATTTTATAGATGGCGAAACTGAAGCAGGAGAGGTTAAACAATCCACCCAAGGTCCTACAACTAGTAGGTATTAAACGACCGATCCCTCTATGGTAAACTTTTTCCACCCTATGCTCTGAAATACAGTTGATGAGCCAGTGTTTCTCAGTTTGCAGAAAATAAATCAAACTGTAAGATCAAATTTCCTCAATTTTAAGTTTCTCTGCCATAATTTTTTTTTTTAATTCAGCAAGCACTACTGTTTCTTCCACTGGAATCGATGCATGAGAAGGTTTATGACTTAGTCCCAAATTTTGTATGTCATTATATATATATGTTAAAATCTCAATATGTCAAAGTCAACAAAGAAAAGCAAGATTTCTAGATGTTCCGCTATCTACACTGGTTTGAGAAGCTCTAGGATGGGCTGCCTTCCCAGGCAATGCAAATGTTATCATATTGGGTTTGGTACCAGTTAGCACCAGGAAAAAGAACTTTGCTTCACACAAAACCAAAAAGGCAGCACAACTGTGGGGTTGTAGCTTTGATTGGAAAAATATGTTTTCTCAATTGAATTTTACTACCTTTGTTGTGGTGAAGTTATTGACAACAGCCAAAGGGTAAAAATGCTCAGGAGAAAACAGTCAGCTCACAACCCAGAGCTGAGCTGCTCGCAGGTCCTAGTGCCCTAAGACTTCCCTTCACATGGCATGTAGACCTAAGGGGAGACAAAAGCCTAGAGTTTCAGAGCTGGAAGCAGCATTGCAGATATTTCATCCACCCGTCCAGAGCCCACACAGGGTTTCTGGTGTCTTCCTCGGCTGCTTCACTCTTGCCTCCGGGCAGTGTGAAGACTGAGGTAATCGTTCCTAATTTGCTTCAGCAGCAGGTTAGAGTTTATTGTTTACAGTCTGAAAACAGATAGGGTTGCGGTCCCTGCAGCCATCCAATTAAAAGATCAACTATTTTTTGAGTGCATGTTATGTGGCAAACACTGTTCTAATCTCTGGGTTACAGGAATGAGTAAAACAGATGGGAATCCCTGCCCTCAGGAATCTTGTACTGTGGTGGGGGAGCGAGTAGGGAGGAAACAAATAAGTAACCATCTAATGTGTCAGACGGCGATAAACACTACGGAGAAAAACATTGCAGGAAAGGAACGTGATAGGGAGTGTGTGTGTGAGCATGTGGGGGGTGTGATGGTTAATTTTAGGTGACTAGATTAAGGAATGCCAAGAAACTGATAAAGCATTATTTTGGGGTGTGTCTGTGAAGGTGAGTCTGAGTGGATTGGGTGGGAAAATCTGACCTCAATATGAGGAACGACCTAAGGGAGATGAGGGAACAAGTACATGGGAGCTGGGGGCACAAAAGGTGCAAAAGCCCATGTCTGAGGAACAAGGTAGTCGGGGTAAGCAAGGGGGGGAGATGGGGTCAGTGTGGTGGGAATAGGGGAGTGGCATGACCTAGCAGATCGGTGGTTCTCACAATGTGATTACTGGACCAGCAGCATCAGCATTACCTGTCAGAAATGTATTTGCTTGGGCCGGCCCAGTGGCGCACTGGATAAGTGCGCCGCTTGGGAAGCGCGGCGGCGCTCCTGCCCGAGGGTTCGGATCCCACATACAGACCGGTTCCCGCTCACTGGCTGAGCGAGGCGCGGGAGCAACACCGAGGGTTGCAATCCCGATGCCGGTCCCCGGTCCGGTACGGGGGCAACACTGAGGGTTGCGATCCGTTGCCGGACACGGAAAAATATAAAAGACAAAAAAAAAAAAAAAAAAAATGTATTTGCTTGAGTCAGAAACTCTGGGAGTGGGGCCCAGCAAGCTCAAGCTTGAGAACCACGAATGTAGAGCCTTGTCAGTCACTCTAGGCCAATTTGGACCATGCATTAGTCCGTTTTTGCACTGATATAACAGAATACCTGAGACTGTGTAACTTATAAAGAAAAGAGGTTGATTTGGCTCACAATTCTGGGACAACTGTCTTGGTACTGGCTCTTCCACTCATGGCAGGTAGCTGGTGGGTACAGGGAGATCACACGGTGGGAAGGAGAGGATGTGTCAGGGTACTTTAAACAACCAGCTCTCATGGGAACTAATAGAGCGAGATCTCACTCAGTACCACCTCCCTCCACAGGGACGGCATTAATCTATTCATGAGGGATCCACCCCCATGACCCAAATAGCTCCCAACACTGCCGCACTGAGGATCAGATTTCAACATGAGCTTTGGGGGGACAAAGGTTAGGAAGACAAACATATCCAAACTATATCAGACCATGTTTCAAAATCATGGCAAAAATGCCTCAGGGAGGGCCCCAAACCATGAGGACATAATTGACAACAGTTGTTTTAAAAACTGTATTGTGGATTGTTCTAGGCACTGGAGAAGAAACAAAAGAAGTTGCCATTACTTAATTCCTTGAATTATTCAAAAACAAATTATTGAGCATCTTCTATTTGCAAGACACTAAGTCAGGAGTTATGCTGGTTACCAAGTTGTACACATTGCTCTTAGTGTCTTTGAGAAAGTTTAAATCTTAAAGGGAAGATAAAGCTTAACATACAAAGCAAGGAAGAATAAAACAAGATACAACAGCATCAAATGTCAGCATATTCAATGCAGATTTTACATATTAAAAAAGTGGCACATCAGTGTGGACAGGAGTCATCAGAAAAAGATTCTTGGAGGAGGGAGGATCTGAGTTACATCTCAAAGTATGAATAGGACCAGGTCATAAATACAGCATGAGCAAGGTGGTAGAACACACACAGGCAACATGGAAAGAACAAGGTGGCTACAGAGAGAAGAGGCCGGTTGTTGCTTAGGAAGGTGAAGACAGATGAAGAAGGGCTTCCATAGGCAGCCGGAGGAGTCGCAGAAGTCTAAGTCAGGAACTTCAGTCCAGGGCCAGTGTTTCCAAAATGGAGGCACAGCAGGAGATGGCTCAGGCAGGAGGTGGTGCACACATGCTCAGCCACAGACTCTTCTGCTTGGTTATTACCACCCTGAAAATCAATATGAATTGTGAAAGGCAGCAGGAGTCAACTAACACAGTATAATTGGCTGTGTTTTTGTGATGTAGAGATTAACAGAGAGAAAAATGTCTAAATTAGGGCATCCCTGGGTAGCTTTTGTTTTTAAAGCAAGCTATGTGGAAGGGTATAATTTCTGAGTTTAGTTCACTGCAGAAGGAGGCAGAATGGTATAGTGAAAAGAGCACAGGTTTATGGCATCACAGAGAATTGGCTCCATGTCCCAGTTCTGTCACTTACTTGCCATGTGATTCCCTTAAGGTAATGATACTTGCTAATTATTTTGCCCTCATATAAAGTCCAATAGGTCTTGAGTGAGGGGAAGTTGGTGGCAGGGAAAGGTGCTCTGCTCCATGCAGTCTTTCAGGGATCTGGGCTGACACAGTCTCTGCCATCCTCAGCATGTGGCTTTCAAGGTCTCCTTGAGCACTGACATGTAGCCATCACACAGAGGAAGAGAAAATATGGAGTGGTGTGTGCAAACAGTTTCCAAGGGCCAACTTGGAAATGCCATTAATTACTTCGGCCCATGTTCCACTGGTCAGGACTCTGTCACATGGTCACAAACAACTGCAAGAGAGACTGAGAGATGAGGTCTAGCTGTGTGCCCAGGAGATTTGGTTAAAAGCTAGCCAATCTCGAGAGACAGGCTTTGGAATCAAAGATTTCTGTCCACTTACTAGCTATGGAACTTTGGGCAAGTTTGTTAATCTCTGTTGGCCTCAGTTTCTTCCCCTCTAAAATGGGAGCAGGAATACCACCTTCCTGGGGTGATGAGGCCTGCCTGAATTTCCCTGTGCCAGAGATTCTGGACAAATATGCTGCTGGTAAGAAAGTGTTTTGGATGTGAAAGCAGAGCAGTTTGTCCTCCAGCCTGAGTGCCACCAACCAGTTGATCTTACTCCCAGGGATTATGCTCAAAGATTAAGATGGCTCAGTTTTGAGTTGGAGGTTTTAGTCTACCTGAACGGTATGTGGATGTACACCCCAGGCCCAGCATCCCCAAACCACTGATTAGGCTCTCCTTTAAAAAAAAAAAAAAATTTTTTTATTGTAACATAATTGATTGTACATA